TTAACTTTTATAAAGAATATCTCTTTGGGTTTGAGACTTTAGTCTTTGCAACTTTAGGGATCTTATCTATTCACGAACAGCTTGCAACACTCCAAAGAGAAAGGAAAACTTGAAATCGCATCATATGACCCCTTTAATGAATGACTGGAAATTTTAAATTAAGTTCAATTAATATTTAAATTTGATTATATTAAAATAATCTTAATTAAAATTCTAAAAGACAAAATCTAGATGTGAAATAAATTTCTTCATTATTTTTATTATTATCATTATTATTAATAATAAAACATTTTATTATGAGTAACTGAACAAATAAATAATAATATGTATCATCTTTTATTTCAGTAGACTTTTTATTTTAATGAATTTAATGATTGGAAAATATTTAAATTGTTATATTTAAATTAAGTTATATTAAACTTAATTAAAATACTAAATGAACAAGTTATTTTTATTATTTATTTATTATTAATAATAATGTATTTTATTATGAATAACTGAATAAATTAAATAATATTAAATATATTGTGGCATCTTTCATTGCAGTAGACATTTTTATTTTAATGACTGGAAAATATTTATGTAGTTATTTTAAAATAATTTAAAAAATGTGAAATCAAATTATTGTTGTTGTTGTTTTTGTTATTATTATTAAGTATTTTATTTTCTTATGAGTAACATGACATCTTTTATTGCAGCCGACATTTTATTGTGAGGACTGGAAAATATTTAAATTAAGTTATATTAATATAATATAATATAATCTTAATTATTTGTTATTATTATTATTATTATAAAAAAAAAAAATTTTTTTTCATTTATGGGGAACTGAACATTAATTAGCCAGACTCATGCAAGTCTTTCCTGTTTTCTCTTTTCCTCAGGTATCTTCAGAGCAATCGTCTGGTCACTCTTCCTCGTGGGATCTTCGACTGTGGGCCGTTAGCTGTGCTGTAAGTGTGTGTGTGGGCGGCAGTATGGTCTAGTTCCCCGACGGTTTTTGAGCTCATATGGTGAGAATGTGTAGGCAGATCTTTCTGGAGTCTCTCCCGAACCGCAGTCAAACGCTGAAGAAACCGAACACGAATCAACCGGACACACTCCACTCTTTCAGCTCAAACAAAAGCAAAATAAATAGAAAGTGAAACAAGTCATGTATCAGGACGTTTATCTTTGTTGTGTGAACTGTAACACACATGCACCTCGACTACAGCGTTTCTAACACACACACACATACACACATTGTATGTTCAATCACATGCCCATTACAACCAATTAAACGTCATTGCTTCAGGCTTTGACTGCACCATTTCCTGCTCCATTTCAACACACACACACACACACGTCTGGTACACCAAAATCACTCCAGAACTTTTCCATATGCTGCTCCAACGGCTGAACAAGGGAACGATTATACTGAGAGGAAAAGAAAGAAGAAAAAACTACCGAGGCTGAGAAATAATATATGTTCCACTTTTGTCTTGCAGAGATTTGAGCAACAACCAGATCACCACCATCGAGGAACGAACGTGTGATAATTTATTTAATTTAACTACGATGTGAGTATAAACACGCACATGTTTCGAATGTTGTGTTGTCAAAACTTTCAAAACGTAAAAAAAAAGCTGAATGACCTGAGCTTAAACCAGAAAACCAGTCTAGATCTTAACACAGATGCGCTAGTTTAGTTTAGTTTAGTTTAGTGTGACGGGTCGGCCTTATTTCTCAGCAGAAGATCTGTTCTGGCATCATGTCGCAACAGACACACCCAGAGTCCAGCATCCAGACGCTATACTGACAGCTGTGTGTGTGTGTGTGTGTGTGTGTGTGTGTGTGTGTGTGTGTGTGTGGGTGTGTGTGTGTGTGTGTGTGAGGGATTCATTCCTGTCTGAATTGTGTTTGTCCATTTAACTGAAATTTCGTTAAACACACACACAAATAAACAAACTCTAAGACACATTCAGTTATGCTTATGTTTGTTAATGCTTTAAAAGTTGTCATATAAATGGGGGAATCTCACAAAGAAATAACTAGGGTCACATTAATCACAATTATATTTTCCGCAGGGATGATGAAGCTTCTTTTTAGGACTTATTGACATTATTTTCAGCATTATGTTTGTCTCCAGACTCTCATTACTCTAAAAGTATTGAAAATATGTGTGGACACAATGCTTTTAAAATTAATTTGGCATAAAATAAATTTAGTACAAATACTACCATTATGTTTACGTACATTTGTACAATAGCAGTTTGAATCATACAGCATCATCTTTTCTTTTCTTTTCTTTTCTTTTCTTTTCTTTATTTTTATGAGGACCTGGATAAATGGAATAATATTAATTAATATATCATGGCATCCTTTATTACAGCAAACATTTTTATTTTATTTATGAGGAAATCAATAAATTAAATAATACTAAATAATACTGTATATCATGGCATCTTTAATTGCGGTAGACTTATTTGATTTGATTTTAAATTAAATGCAAATCAACCAGGTGCGCTCAAGTCTTTCAGTTCAAACAAAAGCAAATTAAATAACTGGTTAAATAGAGATTACTCCAATAAAAGATGTCATAATATATTATTTATATTACAAAGTACAATTACAGGTATACTTGGTGGTAGTTTTTGAACTGAATTTAATTTCAAAGTGTGTCCAGATGATTTGCATTACAGTCATGAAAATAATGTCAGGAAATCCTAATGGTGCTACACAGTCTATTTTATTGCATTTTATCGCAGTACCGTTTTGCCAAATTATAATGATTATAGTTAAAGGAAACATTAAGATTCTTTTCCCTTTGTGATTTAATATTCACATATCAAATGATTAAATGGTCTTATCCGAATTCTATTGGCATTTTTTAATTTTCTAAAGCTTCATTTTCTAGTACAGCGTTCCCTCTGTGACTTTTCAAGTACTGCTTTCATACGCTGATTAAAATTCCCCGGTGAACATCTTTCAGTTCCACAATAATTATAGATTAGAGTGTGTGTTGTGTTTCCTGGACTGATAAAAGAGTGCGTCTGCGGTGACAGATTGCTCCGCCGCTGCTGTACCATCATTTGTGTACATGTCAAACAAAACAAGGCTTAAGTTACACCCCGGGTCTCCACATCCTCTTTAAATTACTATCCTTATCACACATTGCTGTTTGAATAAGGGCCATATAATGTTTTCAGCCTATGCCGGTTTATGATATACTCCCTCTGTCTTTTGGCAGAGATCTGAGCTTTAACCCGTTCGTCTGCGACTGTAAGCTGGTGCGCTTGGTGAGCTGGCTGCAGGATCAGGGCGTTCGAGTGAAGCGACCCAACTCTATGCTCTGTGACCGGCCGCCCGAGGTGAAAAACCAGCCGCTGCTCAACGTCAGTGTGCACACCTGCGGTGAGTCACAGGGACACATCTCTGTGTGCAAGTATTAACTATATGAAGTATTTAGGCCAGCTACTTGTGCTTTTTCTGTAGTATGCAATATGTGTATTGTGCCCAAAATGAGCCCCATGACCTTATGCATCTATTAAAGTGTACAGTATACAGCAGAGCCGACTGCATGAAATTGTGTCCCATTATGCGATGCGCTAAATTTCAAGTCAGGGTTATTATAGTTAACCAAAATGTAACTTGATGTACTAAATAAAAAAGACACATAAAAAAAATAATAATAAAAATGGCAAAAACCCAACAAATTATAACAAAATATAAAAGTAAAAACTAACTCAAGATATTAATAAAACCTATATTGGTATCTAATTGATATTAATATAACTGTGTCAAAAAAAAAAAAAAAAATTAAACATAAAAAATTATACAATTTTGCATGTTAAAAAAGGCACATAACATTTAAAAAAAAAAGAAGAAATGCACAAAAATGAGTTGTCATTTGCCCAATTAAACACGCACTTAATAAAATCATGTGACAGTGTGCAGCATGCTGCAATTAGAAATGTTTGTTGAATTAATGCATTAATTAATAATGCTGTAAACTGGCTGTTATTTTTAAAATAATTTGTGAAACTGTATACAACAAAAAAAATGTACTGCAAAAAAATAAAAAAATTTAAATAAGTATGCAATTTTATTTTTATTTTATTTAAAAGTGTCTTAACATTTGGCAGTATAATGAACTTTTTCTTAAAAATAGGGGGTCAAATTAAGTTGCATTGTAGGATAGAGTACACAGCACAGTGTGCTCTATAGAACACATTTTGGAAAATGATGTAGGTCGTTCAGGTATTTCATGCATACTGTGCATGCATACTATATACTGTAGAAACAGTAGCTGTAGTATTTTAGTAAGCTTTTCCAACACATCTGTTGTTTGACACACTGTTAGTATTCAGTATTCAGTACTGCACAGAACATACTCTACAGTTATATTCCAAATGCAGTCGAAACTAATTAATTAATTTACAATAACAGTTTCTTAATTGATTCTCATATTGATGAACCGATATCTAAATTGGAAGCAGATGAAACCGGAAGCCTTACAAATGGCCGGGCACCCGCACTTATGTTAAGAATAAGGTGGATAAATGGCAATAAGCTTCATGTGCTCTTTAATGTGGTGTAACAGATTGCTTTAGCTGCCTTTAGTTCAAGCGGCAGCGAGGAGCAAAAGTGAACCGATCATCTCTTCTTTGATACTAGTTACAGCATGAAATAAACATGAATAAACATCAGAAGGTATGTTGAAAGAAACAGTACAACTTACTGAAATGTATCATGTCTCATGGAATCACTCAATCGGTGTTTCAACCGCAGAAAGACATCAGTAAAACAACTTGTAAACAATGTCACGTAATATAAACTTGATAGCTAGCTAGAAAAAAAAAACTCTAGAAAGAGCATTTTGATAAGAATATGCACTATATTACATATTCATTTCATTTTTATTTAACCTGTTCTGCAATATTTAATGTATATTTGAATAAATCCGTCCTGAAAACAAGTTTTTATGACAGCCACCGTTTAAATGTATTTATATTTCCAAAAAAAAAAAAAAAAATTAGAATGGAAGCATAATTCTTTCATTAAAGAAAACTGCCTTAAGTGCAATTTAAATATTTGTATACAAATCAGTTGTTTATTTTAACCTTTAATATATCCAAACTAGTGCGGGGCAACGATTAATCGCGATTAATCACATCCAAAATAAAAGTTTTGTTCACATAAATACATGTGTGTGTACTGTGTATATTTATTATGTATATATAAATACAAACACATGCATGTATATACATTTATTTCAGAGCTTTGACATGGCTGTTGCTGTCTCTCTCTCTCTCATCTCTCAGGCCTGACGTACGCGGGCTGTCTGCAGGACGAGGAGCATGCTGCAGGCGTGGAGCTGGTCATCTTCTCCTCTTCCACTCCCGGCCCGTTCTCGCGTGAGGAATGCAACTCCAAATGCTTCCATGAGAACCAGCGCTACGGCGGTCTGGGTCAGCAGAGAGAGTGTCTGTGCAGCACCAACTCCGAGCCCAACCACATCAGCGAGTCCCAGTGTTCGGCCGCGTGCTCGGACCCGCTGGTCATGAAGGAGTGCCTCTGGACTGTGGCGCAGGACGTGTTTCAGGTTCAGATTGTTACCTTGCCTTTGACTTGATTAATCATGTGATTACTGACATGAGGGTACAAAAGTCTTCTATTTCAAATAAATGCTGTTCTTTTGAACTTTCTATTCATCAAAGAAATGTTTTGTGATTTCTGAAGCATCATGTGAAAGCTGAAAATTCAGCTTTGCATCACAGCAATAAATTACATTTTACAATATATTCACATAGAAAACAGTTATTTTAAACTGTAATACTATTTCACAGTTTTACTGTTTTTACTGTATTTTAGATAGTATAAATGCAGCCTTGATGAGCAGAAGAGACTTCTTTCAAAAATGTTCAACTCCAAACTTTTCAACGCTAGTGTGTCATAGTAGTTTGAATATGTTCTCCGTCCACAGGTGAATTTCTCCGCCTCTCTTCCTTCTCGCCGTGTGTCCGTTCATTCAGAGGCTGTCCTGTCTGTCGCCTCGTCCGTCTTCCCTGCCTCTTTCTCATGGGACTTCGGTGACCTTTCGCCCCGGGTCAACACCTCTACGCCCAACACAACGGCGAGGCATAAGTACGGTGTCCCGGGACGGTACCAGGCTCAGGTGAGTCTCTCAGCGGGTCACCAGGAGATCGTGGCGCAGGGGAACGTGAGCGTGGAACTGCCCCCTCGACTCGAGCTCCACTGCCCCGAACTCATAGTGGCCAATCAGAGCCTGGAGGAGGTGGTTTCTCTGGTCAACTGGGGCGGAGTGGGCGTAAACGTGGACTGGAGGATCAGGAAGGATGGGAGAGAGATAGCAAGAGGTACAAGACAAAAACATACACTCTGTTCTAAGACCAAATATTTTACCAACATATTAGACTGATTTTTGAAGGATCATGTAACACTGAAAACTGGAGTAATGATGCTGAAAATTCAGCTTTGCATCACAGGAATACATTACATTTTTAATTATATTTAAATAGATAACAGTTATTTTAAATTATAATAATATAATAATAAAGTAATAATATTTCCCAATATTACTGTTTTTACTGTATTTTTGATCAAGTAAATGCGGAATTTATGAGAAGAAGAGACTTATATTATTATATTATATATTATTGTTGTTTAGAATTGGAAAATTGTTCTAAATGATATTTCTGAAGTCAAATTTCTGACCCCTTAGCGGAGCCGCTGTGTTTGCCAGATGCGATCCATCACGCTGACTCATCCCGCTGTTTCCTGTTGGTGTCGGAGGAAGTCAGCTGGTCAGATGCTCGGCGGAATTGTTCAGCCCGTGGGGGGGAGCTCGCCGTGGTGCATTCCCAAACCGTCCGGGACCTTCTGGCCCCTCGAATCACACAGTGAGTCAGACACTGTTAGAAATGCTTTTCAACTGTTGTTCTGAAACATCTGTAGGCATTTATTCTAAATTCCAAAATTCCAAATCCAAAATTCCACAATCTATTATCTTGTGACTTTGTATTGGAGGATTCCGTCTCGGATATCTTTGGATGTGTTGATGGCTTTCATGTGATTTACTCGTGTGTGCTCAAATTCCGTCTGCAGCTGAAATGACACATTTCACCATTAAATAATATCTGACTTTATCTCATAAAGATGCTGAATTAAGTTACTTCCGCTGCCAGTGCAACATTTTTCATTGAAACCTGTGCCACCCCACTCACTTTTTCTTCACTCTCATCGAGTCCTCTAGAATTTGACTCTGAAACAGCAGCAGGGCACCATGGGAAATGCCTTTTAAAGTCATTCTCAGTGCTGCCCAGTTCACGATCTGCAGCAAAAGGACTGAAAATGTGTGAGTTCCTCACAGGAACAGACAGAAAGGGCAGAACGTTCACAGCCAAAGACCAGACGCAGACTTGATGAAAGTTCACAAGGAGACCAAAACATTAGAATATTGGACGTGTGAAACCATTACAGACATACAGCAAAAAATTATTTTACTTGAAAAGCAAAATTATATAAGATATTAAATCTTGCTTTTTGGGGGGGAAAAAAATCTAAATTAAGTTTTTGCCTAAAACAAGAAAAAAATATCTGCCAATAAAGTAAGAAAAAAATCTTATTTTCCCTTTTAATAAAATTTATTTTTCTTACCCCTATTTTTTTTCTTCTTGTTTTGAAGGAATAGTTTTTTCATGGAAACCGATTTGCAGAAATGTAGCATTCCATCACTTGTTCATCAATGGATGCTCTGCAGTGAATGGGTGCCGTCAGAATGAGAGTCCAAACAGCTGATAAAAACATCACAATAATCCACAAGAAATCCACACCACTCCAGTCCATTAGTTACAGCCTTGTGAAGCCAAAAGTTACGTGTTTGTAAGAAACAAATCCATTATTAGAGCTTTTTTAATTTCAAAGCATTTCTTCTGGCCAAAATAGGAGTCTATAATCCATAATAACGCTTCCTCCAGTGAAAAAGTCCATCTCCTGTTGTCCTCCCACATCAAAATCCACCCACATATTTGTTTAGATCTGTTTTGGGCTGTTTTTGCTTGTAAACAGTGCTTGATCTGTGCAGATTTCTCTCCTGATTCAGACGAGACGACTTTTTCACTGGAGAAAGCAATATTATGGATTATGGGCTCGCATTTTAGCCAGAATCAGAAATCAGAATCAGAATCAGAAAGAGCTTTATTGCCAAGTGTGTTTACACACACAAGGAATTCGTTGTTAGGAGCTTCGGTTTGAAGTTCAAATGATGGATTTGTTTCCTACAAACACACATCTTTTCACTTCACTGATGGACTGGAGTGGTGTGGATTATTGTGATGTTTTTATCAGCTGTTTGGACTCTCATTCTGACGGCACCCATTCACTGCAGAGGATCCACTGGTGAGCAAGCGATGTAATGCTACATTTCTCCAAATCTGTTCCCATGAAGAAACAAACTCATCTACATCTTGGATGGCCTGAGGAAGAGCAAATTTCCAGCAAACTTTCATTTTTTTCAAGCATAAACGCACTTAATCTTGACACATTTTCAGAAACTTTTCAGAGACTTGATATATAAATTTATTTTGCTTCTGAAGTAAATGTATCTTGATTTAAAAATGTTTTGATGTTTCTACTAGAAAAAAAACAAAAATACGGAGTAAGAAAACCATTTTTTTTGCAATGTATGGCCTTTGTTTCGGCATGTAATGTAATCCATGCACATAATGAAAATTTCTGCCTTCGTTTGCTTCATCTTTTGTCTCTCTTGTTATTTGGTCGTACATTGAGCACCTCGTCTCTGTGCACCAGGAGCGAAGAGATCCGTTAATAGCTCATTTTGTTTTCTATTCAGAGATGGAGCTGATGTTCACCCTTAATCTGTGTGTGCTCATCATCTCCCAGAGCTGAGAAATCAAGTTTTTATGTCTCTGCTGAGCATGCCAACTCTAAATCCTGCTTTGTTTTCAGAGTCAGTGTTCGTGAAATAATAGGTATTTATTACTTTATCTTGGACTGAAATTCTGACCACTAAGTCTAAACACATATTGTGTTTCTTAAGTCACATCACATTCATTTATATAGCGCTTTACACAATACGAATTGTTTCAAAGCAGTTTCACAGTAATAAGCAGTACCAATGTTGCAAAATTCATCAATTATGAAATGATTGTATTGTCTGAGCGTCGTTATGTGGAATGAGCTACAGCTTTGCTGTAAGCCAGTTTTATATCATGGTAAATGATTTCAAATTGACTGGCTCGTAAACGTCATATTAAAAAAATAGCTCATTTGGACATGATTGGACTAAATGGGAAGTCCTTTCTGGCGGTGATTATTGTTATTATTCATCAGCAGTGCGCAAAATGTGTAGAACCTAAATTGCACAGTTGATATTCACAATTACAACTTAATTATGACCGATTTGCTTCCTCCTGATTCTTTAATGGACTTTTCCGACTCCGGGAATCATTTCCTGCTGTAATAATGAGATTGTGGAGGTGTTCATGTGTGCTGATCATCTCGGCGAGGCCTGAAGGCAGCATTAGCTCTGATGTGGACCTGATCTTGTGCTGATAGTCAAACGTCTCTGGATTCATTAACTCTTCTTTTCCATCATACTCGAGTCTTAAAATTACAATTCTGATATTTACATGATATGTTATGCTAATAAATATTTAAACTTACACATACAGAGTCAGAGTTTAAGTACTTCATTTGTTTTGACTGTATTTGTTTCTCATGATATTCAAAAATCTTTTGATGTAAAGGCTCATTCTTTGAATACTGGAAGTAGTTTTGTAGCATTTTATTTATTTGTTTAAATTTTTCATGCATTTTAAATTATTTATTACAAACAATGAACAACACTTCCCTTGACAATGACAGTGGCCCTGTAGCAAACAAGGACAGAGAAAGAAAACACACACACAAAAGAAACATGTCTAGATGCTTACGTATTTATTTAAATGTTATGTTTTTTTATGATTTTGTAGAATATTTAATAATTTATTAAATTTTTTATTTATTTAAATGTTTTCATGTATTTTTTTAATCACTAAACATGATTTAAAATGATCTTTATTTATACATTTATTTAAAAGTAAAAAAATATATATAGTTTGGATCATTATTATGTTTATTTAATAATTAAATATTTATTCATTTTTTATATTTATTTATTTATTTTATTTATTTAAATTTTTAAATGAGGAGTCTAAAAGGAAAAGCATGCTCCTTCCACACTAGTTTTAAAAAGCATCCCAGGATGCACTTCATGTCGCTGGAATCTAGACAAAGAAGGAGCTCAAATATAAGAGTTTTTTTTTCCACACTACATAATTACCATGCATTAATTCAGTGTTTTCACAACTTTAAAATTATTATAAACTGTGAAAACTAGAAAAATAAGTATATGTGTCCAAACTCTCAATCGTTTGTGTGCAACTTTCTTCTTTAGCGATGAAATGTTTACAGGTGTGAACACACACACACACACACACACACACACTCTGTGGTCTTACACATCTGCTGAAACACAGCTGTGGAAATATGTTACACTCCAGGAGGGAGGAGACACCAGTTCTATGTGTTTATGTGTGTTTATCTATGCGAGTGTGTGTGTGTGTGTGTTTCCTGTCTTCTGTTCCACACCCATCATTAATTTGAGGGCAGAGCTTCCACTGACCAGAGCGAGTGAGAAAGAGAGAGACAGAACAAGTGTTGGAGGAAGTGTGTTTTCTGTCTCTTAACCTGCTCCAGATGGACCACATACCCCAAACACACACACACACAGTCTTATGTAAGAACGCACAAGCGAACAGACCACTTTTTATTGTTTCTTTTTTGGCGCAAAGAGTCGTGTTTTTGTCCCTCTCTTTCCCTCCTCATTTTTTCTCTTTCATTTGTAGTTTTCACAGATGTTGGATTCAGCCCGTTAGAACCGTGTGTCTGTGTGTGTGTGTGTGTGTGTGTGTGTGTGGTGTAATAGGCCTGTCAAAGGCTGTGGTGTCACTACTGGTGGTCTGGGCGGGACAGTCGCGCTGGGACCCGTGATGACCAGACCCTCCCTCTTCATCTGTGAATGTCATGCAGTTAAATAATTATGATAACAGAGAAAATGTTTGACATGGTATTTATTTATAATCTTTGTAAGATTATACAAACATAAATTATATGAAAATTAGTTTATTAAGCTGAACGTCTTAATTCTTAAGAATGTTTTCAACCCACTACATTAAGTTCCTCTTAAGTGCCAAATTTTTTTCTTATTTTTTTTAACTTAAGACAATACTTAGTTTTTACATTTTTTTAGTTCAAAACAGAAAAATTATTCAAATTCTTCAGAAGAATGTTCTTAAAAATCATCATAATTTCTTAAAGTTAGGATATTGTTTTCCAAATTCCCAAAGGTAAAGCCTGTCATTTTATTCTAAAGAATATATATATATATATCAAAGAAAATATTGGAGAACTTTTTAAGAATTCTTCAATAATCTGAACATTCTTAAGAATATCTTATGAAATTATCTGTAGAACTTAATTTATTTATTTTTTTAAAGATTTGGTGTTTCTAAAGTCTGATGTGGTGTTATTTTAGTATTATTTGTTTTTTATTAATATTTAGAATTAGCTTTTATTTGTATGTTTTCAGTTTTTTTTATTTTGCTTTCATTTTTGGTCATTTTGTTATGTGCATTTGTCATTTTTATTATTTTTTTCCTGCGCAGGTTTAATTTATTTTTTATTTTAGTTGTATTTATTTTTCCATTTTTTAAATTTTTGTTTAGATTAAGTTTTCATCTAATATTTATGGTTTTATTTTATTTCAGCTTTATTTCAGTAAACAAATGTGTTTTATTTATTTTTTTAAAGATTTGGTGTTTCTAAAGTCTGATGTGGTGTTATTTTAGTATTATTTGTTTTTTATTAATATTTTGAATTAGCTTTTATTTTTATGTTTTCAGTTTTTTTTATTTTACTTTCATTTTTGGTCATTTTGTTATGTGCATTTGTCATTTTTATTATTTTTTTCCTGCGCAGGTTTAATTTATTTTTTATTTTAGTTGTATTTATTTTTCCATTTTTTAAATTTTTGTTTAGATTAAGTTTTCATCTAATATTTATGGTTTTATTTTATTTCAGCTTTATTTCAGTAAACAAATGTGTTTTTAAAAGTTTTAGTTTAGTATAATAACCCTGCTCTAAAATGCATTAAAATATCAAAATGACTCAAATTTCAACTGATAAATCATATTGTTCAATACATTTTTGCAGGAATTTTTGGAAAACATTATTGAGCTGTTGTCGTACGCATGACTTTATTCTGTGATTTTTGCACTGGGGTCTATTTGTTCCCGCTTTCCGTCACTGTTTTCATGTCTCGTTTGAAGGCAGATGAAACTTCAAAATGATCAGCGTCCCGTCGGGTTCAATAACGTGTCGTTAAGGCGCACATTCCCCTCGGCTGCTGCTTTATTAGGGTTATTGAAGCTCTGAACGCACTATGCATAAAACATCGAGAGCGCATTCGCCTCGCATTAACGTCCTGTGTGCGTTTGATTCCAATGGGAAGAAAAATCACAGGCGACATCTCTTTAAAACCTCAGTCGCTGCTCCTGGATGGTAATGAGAATAAATGGAGAGCGAAAGCAATAGTTGGGCCGGGATTGATAATTCTGTCATCATTTATTCACGTCATTCTGAATCTGTGGGAAACAAAAGAAAGGGGTTTAATGAGCTGTTTCTTTTAGGCCCAGAAGCAGCTCTGGGTCTGGTTTGTGATGTTGTCTGTGTTTGTGTGCGCTGCAGGGAGCGTGGAGTGTGGTTGGGATTGAGCGATCAGTACTCTCCCCGTGTCCTGCGCTGGGTGGACGGTTCGGAGGTCCTGACGGGGGAGGAGGGCACGAGGGACCGGGCCACGCTGCAGCCTGGAAATGTGTGTGTGTCACTGGACGGCAGCGGGCAGCCCAGCTCCCACTCCTGCACCGCCAGACGAGCGTTTGTCTGCCAGTTCTCACGCTTAATGAGCTGTTTCTTTTAGGCCCGGAAGCAGCTCTGGGTCTGGTTTGTGATGTTGTCTGTGTTTGTGTGCGCTGCAGGGAGCGTGGAGTGTGGTTGGGATTGAGCGATCAGTACTCTCCCCGTGTCCTGCGCTGGGTGGACGGTTCGGAGGTCCTGACGGGGGAGGAGGGCACGAGGGACCGGGCCACGCTGCAGCCTGGAAATGTGTGTGTGTCACTGGACGGCAGCGGGCAGCCCAGCTCCCACTCCTGCACCGCCAGACGAGCGTTTGTCTGCCAGTTCTCACGCCACGGTAAACAACACCATACACAACTCTGGACTCTACAGCTGCAGTCTGCATACCATACGTACTAGCTAGTATGCATCATTTCAATTGGTGCATCCTAAATGATAAAAAAAAAAACATGCTTGCATGTGCACTGTTTTCAGTGGATTTTATGTGAATCTGCAGATGCATTTTGTATTGCCCATAACTTTTTGCAATATGGATGAGGAGTGACATCTGCTCTAGTTCTTAAACACACATTTTTTTTTTTTTTTTGTAAAAAAAATGGTGAATGCATTAAGTATACACATCTCTAGATCTTGCATACTATATAGTATGCATCATTTAAATTGGTGCAGCCCCAATGTAAACATCTGTACTATTTTCATTTTTAGGTGGATGTGTGCATAATATTGCTAATATTGCCCACAAGCCCTTACAATATGGATAAAGAGTGACATTTGCACTTGATCTTAATGACATTTTTTGTTTACATTTTTTTTGTACATAAATGACAAAAAAAGTCCTACTATTCATAAAGGTTTATATAAAAGTCCAACTTTTTTACTTTTTTAATGATAATAAAGGTAATATAAATGTAAGCTCATGTTAAGCTTAATGCAAGTGCAAACTATATTTGAGGGATAAATAATATATATATGGGTCAAAGACGTTAAGATGTCCGCATCAAAAGAAATGTACAAAAGTGATTTTATGTCCATAGAAAGCACATTAAATGTAAGTAAAGTGTCTACTTTTAAGGTTTCAAATAAGTTTTTGGAGAATAAAATGTCCAAATTTGGTTGAAATAATGTTACATTGTCATTCAGTGTAACACAATATTTATGTAAAAATTCAAACAACATGCTTATTCTGACGTGTACATATTAAAATATATAAAAGAATAAGGGAGCATATGAAATTTGATTGTGTTTTAAATGAGTAAAAAATTCTTACTGACAAATGGGCAAA